TCTGTGCGCTCTCGGCATTAGCGGCCACGGGCCGCTTACCATCACGTACAGCGAGTGTCTTGCGTGTTTCACACTCGCACAAGGAGTCTCTGAGGAGTCGATTCCTTGACCGTTTCCTGTGACACAGGTCGTGAGATCGTCGGGGCCGTTACCGCGCCGGAGTAATTGACGTTTAAGTAGTGCTATGTGAGATTTGCTCCGAAAAGTCGTTCCAGATTTCACGGGGCCGTAAAAGTTCATTCCTAGGAAAAAAAAAAGCTCGAGCACAGGATCTCTTCTTATCGTCCAGGAATCTGTGATGGGTCTTCTGGTACCAAGATAACACAGGTCGTGAAAGATAGAGAAAGAGAATCGTGAGTGTTCGATTCTACGTACATTTCTGTGAAGAAAGTTCGTGGAAGCGCGCGTTGCCACGTCTCTGGGCGTCAAACGCGTGGCGCGAAGAGAAGCCGCCGTGTCTTACGTGTCGCTCTCCCATCGCTCCGGCTCTCACGAGTGTGCGTGCGTGCGTGCGTGCGTGCGTGCGTGCGTGCGTGATGCGCGTGAATTCCGCCGGCGCGACGTGGTGGATCGACATTAGCGGGATTGACGTTGGCGAACCTCTTACTCGCCGCGAACCGGTTCGCCGATCACGGCCGCATCCTCTTCGCGATGCGAGAGATACGTGTAACTACGCTCGATCGCCCGCGCTGAAAAGGGACAGCTTGGCGTCGCGCTAGTAACACCTCGAACACGAGGTCGCCCCGGGATACACGGCGCGTGCAATGAGAATTTCTTGTTGAAAATGGATTGGAAGGTTCTGATCACATTTATTCAAAATTTTGATTATCTTCCCTCTAAAACTTTTAGGAAAAAAAATTTACTCCAAAGAGTAAAATTTCAGTCTTAGGTCTGGTTGTTCCATCTTTAGATAAACTATGTGATAATTTACTCATTGGATAAACAAAAGAGTAAAAGAATAAAACATAAGAGAATAAGAGAGTAAGCTGAAGTTTACTGAAAGGTGGAACAACTCAGCCTTCAAGATTAAAATTTGAATCGCTCTTTTTCAGGACTTACTCAATTGCCACTTTTTAAAGGAAACGCGCGCGAGTGAACGAGCTTGAGGTCGTTTCATGGCACGCGATGCGTGCAATGAGAATTTCTGGTTGAAAATAAACTAAAAAGTTCTGATCACATTAATAAAAATTTTGGTTATTTCCTCTTTAAAATTTTTTTAGAGTAAAAGTTTCACTTTAAAGAATGGAATCTCACTCTTAAAGATTAAAATTTGATAACCAGATAAAATATTTTTCAAGACTTAGCGAGTCACAATTAGATTTATGATAAGATTTAATCTAGAAACCTTGCCTTTAAAAAATATCAGTGTAAATTTACTATGCGGTGTCTATATAATCATGTTGGTGTAACACCATACATATATATACATGGTATGGATTTAAAATCCATGTTGTGAAATCCGCATTCGTATTTTTACACAATATAACAGAGCGTACAAAACAAAGTCTAGTCACAAGCGATTTTGTCAAAATCCTATGAGAAAGAAAGATATTTTTTTTTTCTTCCTGTATTCTGTACACATACTCTATAATCTCAAAAGTTATTAAATGAAACAGTATAAGTTAAAGTGAGATTTTATATATATTAGGTGTTGGAATTAATTCGTAGCGTTTTTTAATGAAAGAATGTTATTTATTTCACATGAGCATTAAAAAATACATTAATGAAAGTACTTCCCATCACTTGTAAAACGCTACGAATTAATTCCAACACCTAATATATTGACAAAATCGTTCGTGACCAGACTCTGTCATTGGATCCCTTGATTCAATCAGAAATTCTGATTTGTCCATTTTCAACGAGAACTCCAATTAATGCAACTAAACTCCTTTTTCCAGTGTGAGCTTAACTGTGTCACGAAGTAGGCATGCGATTTCCGCGTTGCGATTACACGCAACCTAGAGACTCTATAACAGAATCTGGACACGAGCAACTTTATCAAAACAAGAATAAGGAAGTAGAGTATATTATCTCTTGTTACATATACTGAAAGAAATGTTTGGTTGAAAATGGACAAACCAAAAAATTCTGATTGATATAATCAAAATTTTCTGGTTTGTTCATTTTCAACCAAACATTTTTCTCAGTGTATATTATCTCATTCTACCTGAAGTTGACAAAAATGAAGGACCAATCAAAAGTTTATTATCTCGTGGCCAAGGCTATAAGGTTTCTAACACGGAGAGTTTCCAAACAGAACAAAAAATTATAAGTCTATTTTTTTAGCTGAACTTCTTGGTTCATTTTCCCTTCTTTTCTCTCGACGTTGGAGAAAAAAGAGAAAAGATGAACTGTGCAAGAAGCTCAGCTAAAAGGAACAGACCTTTGGATGATATCAAAATGGCTTCAAATTAATTATAGTACATTAAATTAAATATAGTAGGATTGGGTCAGTCATATCCTGCACGTTTCTTTTCTTCGAAAAACTAGGAGAATTAATTAGTTATAACATTTACATATATTTTTTTTTAAATACACAACTTTATAAATATTTTTAAAAAATGTTAAAGTAAATGTAAGAATCACTTATAATTTTTATATATTTATTAAAATGATGAAAATTAATCTGGGACATGAATGACATCGTATGTAGTAAAGGACTGGAAAATCATCGTATATATTAAGATTCAAAAGTCACTTTTCGATACAATTCATTTTAACGTCATTTTGATCTTCGTGATCTGTTTGGGAAACGAATGAGCGAAGAACTCGTCTTTACTCTTCTCGCGCCGCATAGTAAACGCATCTCCGATTCCGAGGATTATAAATTCAACGCTCGCACTGCTCCTTCTGGGACTCTTCTTTTCCGGAGATCTAACGTGGCCAGGATTCGTTTCCTGGTACACGCCCTGTAAAAAACACGCCGATCGGAATCGGATAAAAGATGTATGTCAAATCCGACGGTCAACCAGGATTACGGAAAAATTTGAAAATCCAATTCTTTCGGAGAGTTAAAATACATAAACGCGCGACACCTCCATGTCCACGTGTATTTTTTCCGCGCATCGATTTTGTACCCTGTAAAAAAAAATACACTGAAAAGGTCAGGGGAGAATAGAAGAAGTTGAACCTCGATTTTGAAGATTAAAAATTCAATTTTTTTAATCTGATATAAATTTTGCACGCACGCGTGCAATATTTTTCTTGCATCAGTGTCGCCGGTAGTTGTCCTCAAAAGAGATACTTATTAAAAATTTATTTATTTACCTTTTGTGTAATCTAAACAATATGCATTTGAACTCGAGATAACACAATATTGAGCACTCTACTTTGAGAGATTCATGAGAGATAGATGAGAGAAAAAAAATTGTATATTTTATTTTATGAAGAATCCTATAATTACATGTACCAGATTTTCTATCAGAGAATTCAGAATGAACAAAAAAAATCTAGATGAGATGGAAATAAATTATATTTGATCAAAATTTCATAGAATTAAATAACATTATACACATTAATTTGTAATATTGATTTAATAGGTAATATAAATTAAAATCAAATAATTTTTAAATTATTTGAGCCTTTTTACTATTTAAAATTAAATAAATTTTAAAGAATCAAAAAAATAATCAAATAGAAATAATTAGTAGAATTAATACTTGTTGAATCATAATTAAATAGTTAATTAAAAAGAATTACTCATGTTATCTAATATTCTTTTCCCGCGAATTACAAGATATTTCTTCTTATCTTAAAAGTTACGACATATGCTCGGGCACATGTGGGAAAACATATGTTGTATTGTTATTTATATGCATAGACATTCATACTGTATTACTTCTCATACTTGTTCTACATTCACCGCTAAGCATCGTCATCCGGTTCCACGTTTCATTCATGTAACACGTTCGATCTAAGCAGAGAGCCTTCGAGCGCTATTTAGAACCACTTCACTAACTCATTCTGCTCGGAATCGACCTCGCTTAATTCTATAGATCGACTTTGATCGCGATTTATTTCCAATCCTTTTTTCAGTCTCTTTCCGGATATAGAAATTATTAAAATATTACACTGAAAAATGTCATTCTATTGCTAAGGAAAGTAGTTACTCAATTTACTTTCTTTCTTTTAAGTAACGGTTATCTTTAACAAAGAATATACTTTTCTGATGATAACCTTAAAATATTATACTTATTTAGAGAGAAATTTTAGAAAAACTCATTATGTATTCAATATTTATTTTTATTTTCTTTTGAAGGATATAAAATTGATCGAAGAAGCGACTTCATATAATAATAAATCGAATTTAATTTAATAATCTTAATAATTTTTTAAATTTAATAATCCCCTGATTGAAGTGTATTAAACTTACTCAGAGTATATTTATAAGAATTCAGAATATATTTTAAATAAATTCGATGAACTTATGATTATGGATTTGCAGATACAAGAACTTTTGAAATACGTGAAACAAGTAATTATTATTTGCATACAGTATATATTTTTCTGTGTATTTTTCTCTAGACACTTTTTTATTTTCTCTCCGTTTCTCTGCCAACCGTGAAATGACATTGACTGCTCGAATTTTCTGGTGCCACGTTAAAAGGGGAAAAAAAGAAAAAAAAATACCGTCCATACCTGCGCGTTCTCAGGTAAAGACCAAAAATAACTCGTAAGCGGTAGGTATTGGAGGCTGAGATATCGCGATAGCAGTTCAGTTCACGAATGCCCGTGAGATGCGTCGCGCCAAAATCGATCTATCGGGGAACCAGGTCAGCTGCTGAGGTCTTCATCCCACGCTGCACTGCGAGCTAAAAATCAAGTTAAGCAAAACAGACGGGACGTGGCTTACTGGAACTGTCTATGCTTTAAAGAGATAGTTAAAACATAAGAGGGGAAAAAACAAAACGCCTGTCCGCTCTGCTTAAATGTTTGCAGTTCTTAATGAGGATTGCGGCCAATTCGTCTTCGTTCTTTGCGATCTTCGTTTCAGACTCCGACTCGAGTTTACGAAGCGTTAAAGCGTCAAACGTTTTTATATCCTGATTTAAAGTAACGCAACCTACCGCGTTCCGCAATCTTGTTAAAAAAAATTTTTTGAGATTAATCGTGGGAGATGGTGCCAAATAAGTTGGGCAATGTTTCGCACGGCGTCAATGAATTCGAACGGCGCCAATTGCGGATCTGGAAACATATATACAACGCCGTAGATACCGTGAAGATTTTTCATACTTCTCGTGCCTCTCATGCTTTCTCTATAATATGCAAATGAATGCCACTGTCCTTATTCCCGGCACTTGCTAATTCTCTTTCGTTCCCATTTTTAGTCTACGATCGAAGATGGTCGGAACCCGCTGGTATACCATACCAGCGGGTTCCGACTTGCTAGCTTTTTTTCCCCTTTTAAGAACTCGTGAACATCACGGCGAGTTCCAAACTTAATCTTCCCAGCTTCAAAATTAGTTTTCGCGAAGTCCCGATAAAAAAGGTAGGTCAAAACGATGTCGTACTGAATGCTTCTTTGAGTGAAAGCATCCGGATTTCGGGCACCGCACGTCCGTCGCTCGTTTCGTTCGATCGCCACGTAAATCGAAGAAATGCTTGCCAGCATACACAAACCGATAACAAATTCGATTGTCTGGTCACGAACATTCCCGCACGTATTTGTCCGTGGTTTCTTTTTCCCCCGCGTTTCGCACGGGACGAGGTTCTCGTATCAAGAGAAGCTATTCTATCATCGTGTCCGTCCGTTATCCGTCTTCCAGTCTCATACAGGCTCATATAGGAGTACCTTGGATTCTCGCGACGGGGCACCGGTTGGTCTCTCTCGGAGAAACTCGCTTCAAGGCCGCGCCGTTTTGTAACGCGTGCCATGAGCGAGCCATCACGGACTGTGAGGCTCAGCAGGACCGTTGTACGTACTATATGGGGGTTGCGATAACGATACCTGGAGACCGCTATCCACACGTTCTCACGTCTTGCGTCTGTGGAGTTTGGAGAGCGTGGGGAGATGTCCGAGATTATTGCACACGCTTCCATCTCGCAACTGCATCTCTCCGTGCCGGTCCATCTGCGTGAGACAAAACCGATAGTATGAGAATTAATGTTCGGCGAGTGTCTTCGCGCACCGTCTCGATTGCTTCACTTCCCAGGTTTTTTCTTTCTAGAGTGCTTCACAGTATGTGTAAGAATTACCTAACGCAATCGCTGCTTCGACTTTCGCCCGAATGACTCGATCGTTTAGCTTCATTTAGTATACTTGAACTGTAAATAAATTATCCTTTAACGATCTTTCTTAACTCTTAGTACACCCGACGATTTTCCTTTACTATACACGATGTGTTGTTCGTGTTTCGGGTTAATTCTCATCACACTTTTATAAGTGTACAAAAATTATTAAGTGATTCTTACATATATTTTAGCGTCTTTAAAAAGTATTTAAAAGATTGTGTGTTAAAATTGATTGTACATCAATGTTATAATTAATTGTTTTTGGTACTTCTAGTATTTTAAAGAAAAATAATGTGTAGGATATAAATAATTCAATCATGCATAATTAAAAATTATCGCTGTTGAAACGTTAGATTCTAAAATTGTCTCTTTTATCAATTCAATAGGATCTACACATATAAACTTTTACATGATTTATATGTCATTGACACATTGACTGCGCATTATTACATTAATATTGCACGCACAAACTTTCTAACTAACTAATCTTTATATTAGATATTTAAGCCTAAGTCTAAGAATTCAACATTGTTCATGTAATCCCTGATGCAAATTAAAATGATTTTATACAAAGTTTAAAATATATAAAGTATGAAACTTTTATGTAAAGCAAATATTGTTACGATGTCAGAAGCCGATAAAGAGCTGTAATTTTCAAACTTTTTTTTATTTTGGCATAAAGTCAACTGGTTTGAACATTATCGATTGTACTTTAATTGTGGAAAAAGATTTTTAAATCTGTATGAAGACAGAAAAATATTATTTGAAAAATAATCGATAAAACACAACAGATGACACAACAAACTTCAAGTGTGAAAATCATCGGCAGCTTCTACAATTATTATCTTTTAATTAATTATTGAGATATGATTAATTAATAAAGTGCATTTAATTGGCTTGAAATTGGATTAATTCCAAGTACAATTTGGCTCAATTAATTAATCGCTTGAGAAACATCGAATCACAGATGAAGATTCTCGTAAGATTTTCCACTAAAGAGAAGTTGTTTCTGATTTCGTCCGCCGCTAAATCGCTATGGTGAAACATTTAGTGAAATCACAATTTATACGACACGGGCTACATCACAAGCTGCATCTCCCGACAGATGGTATTCTTGATGGATGACGCTACTGATCGCTGGTACACGCTATTTGCGTCACTATTTCTCTCGCGCAAGAGAGAAACGATACTTAATTAACGGTGTACTTCGGTAGTGATTCATGAAACGAGTGAAAGGTTCTCCGTGGGTTTTCTTAGTCAGAAGAGCGACGATTAGCGTGCATAGTGGAGACACAGACTCGACATGACGATGAGACGAGGCTAACCGATCCGCAAGGACGTTCACTGCAAAGACCCATTTTTCCGTGACCTTTTTGTGGCATTTGCTTGTCATGACTGCCATCATGTGACTGGAGGTGAAAATTAAATACCAAGACATAGTAAAGTATCGAGAATCTATCTTGTCATAATCGCAAGGATGTACTTAATCCACGTGTACGTACCGAGTAAGAATCAGGAAGATGTTGAAACTAAGTAGCTTTTGTGACTTTGTAGATATCAAGACATCGGGAATCCATCTTGGCATAATCGATATTTAATCTTTGTGTATATATATATATATATATATATATATATATATATGGAGTGATCGAAAAACTACTGGAAACTAGAAAAATAACTAACAATATTTTGTTGCGATAGTATGTTGACAAAATGAAATGAATTAAATAGGACATTGTATAAGAAATGTATTATTTTTAATACACAATGCAAGGGAATATAAAAAAATAATCAAATAGAAATAATTAGTTTGTTGAATCATAATCAATTAATGATCAAATAATTGATTAAATAATACATAAATAATCTAACTCTACATAAATAAACTCGTAAAAATAAATATTATAAATAATATTAACAATTCAGTTAGTTACATAACTAATATAAATTTCGAAATGATGACAGCCCAAACTCGTCCAGTGAAGCGCTCTTGAAAATGTTGAAATATTTTCTAAAATAAATAATTATATTTTTAAAGAATTTCAAATAAATTCTTTTTATGCTTATATGTCGATACCGAAATTGAATAACCAATTAAATTTAGCATTTTTATATTTATTTTTACATATTCATATATGTATTTTTTCGTGTTATGTGCTAATAAGAATCAATTTTTTATTGCAGAATAACGTTTAATTTATTTCATTCTATCATTTCAAAATAACTATTTACGTAAAATAATTATTTAATTTCAGCAATTTCCCGATTGTTACTCTATAATATTCTGTATATTCACACTTTATGCGACTGATAGGTTGAAATTTGAAATCAAATTATCAATGATCAAAAAAATTTTGAGTGATGGTTATTACGGTACTTGCAAATGATAATAGTTACCTGTTACCGTGCCATGTAATAAGAAACCTTAACGAAAATGTCGGTTGTGCGAATAAGTGCATCGTAAAATACGGTGTGAAAATTATTGTATTACAACGTTGATACTATAATACTCGTCGAACTATATCATGGTAGACCGCACAGATTTTGGAGCAAATCCATCAGAAATAAACGAACAGAAAATATTTCATTTAATAACTATGTTTCGCGCTTTACAAAATAAAATTGCAATTCATTTACTTGTTGAAAAATATCATCCTTCCAATTTATTTTCAAAAAACATAGCATCGAAATATTATTCATTTGTTATAACAATGATATAACTCAAAAAGCATCAGTTACTTAAAAAAAAAGAATAGAAACATAAAGAAAACAAGAAAAAATACACTTTAAAATACGTACATTTATTCCTCCATAATCAGTTATTACATCAAAGTTGCATTTAAAAATTAATGCTAAATATAAAATTGTAATAATTAAAAAAAAAATATTCAAACTTATTAGGTGTTGGAATTAATTCGTAGCGTTTTTTAATGAAAGAATGTTATTTATTTCACATGAGCATTAAAAAATACATTAATGAAAGTACTTCCCATCACTTGTAAAACGCTACGAATTAATTCCAACACCTAATATTTTCTGAAAAACTTCGTTTTCAAGTCGTTATAATAAATCAGCGATGCATACAGCATTTCGTTTATATATTACACGAATGATGTATATGTAAATATATATTTGTGAATATACTTATATTATAAATGATGTGTATATACATGTATTTTTATGATATATAGATGAAGTATTTATTAGGTATATTCTTTATATATGTGTGCCTAAATAAGGGAATCATATCTGACTTGAATTTAATTGATCGCGTTGTTGATTGCAAATTGCACCACAGCGCGCTCGCTTATTACTGAAACAGTTTATAGTAAACAAATGCGACTGTAAACATTGCACGAGCGTTTAACATTTGTATAGGATGCAACGCGAGATCGGTACTGGACGATGCAATGCGTTAAATGTACATTCAATCGCGTTTTTCACTGTTAATCCGTTCTCCATTACTTGGAAAGCTGTATGCCGGTTTGTGACCCGTATAAAACGGCGCGTAATAACGGTATACACGTACGATACCGCGATCTTCATTGTATTGCCAGTATTGTCTGGCTGCTCCGGTACAATTTTAAACACCGGCAGAAGCACATTGTTCTCGAATTCGAACGTGCATACGCTTAACCCAGTGCAACTATATGACATACATATTACTGATCCTTCAATTATTACGGAATTATGTCACTCCGCGATGAAATCAACGTTTCGGAACGTGTGTTTTTTTCTAAGATATAATGCAAGATACAATGGCTGATTAAACAATAATTTAAAAAATATGTATATGCTAATAAAATTATTTTTATACTTTTGATGAAACTCTTCGATAAAATTATTTTTGATGTCGATAAATCAAACATTAATGTGAAAAGCATTTATTCAACAAATTATGTAAATTTTTTAAAAATTTCGAAATACGGAAATAATATACGTAAATAAAAATAACGCGGGATATTTTCAAATAACTGCATAATCATTTATGTCACAAGTAAACATGTCATTGTGTATAAAAATTGTTAAATCCCAAAATCTGTCTTTTAACGTCGAGCGAGATTAATACTGAATCGATTTTCACAGGGATTTTATTGCGCGTGTAAGTATTGATGCAAACACCCCTGTCGCGTTTATAATCGTTAGTTACCTGGCTTAAATTAATCTATGACGTCACGCCTTTTAAATTCAGTTCACCCGTATTATACTATGTATAAAATATTTGATCGCGATTTTACCACACCGCTAGTAACTCGTTAACCGCGATATTGATATTGCACACTCGTTTGTTACACTCATTTGCAGATATATTATGTATTACGAACCTAAGAGAAACTCAATGTATTATCGGCGTAATGGAAATTCTATTTATAACATTTCGCTGTGAACTAAAATTATATTTAAAATTCAACACAAACTCCTGCATATTAATTCATGAAGACCGCATAATATTACACGTATAATATTATGACACATACATGATACATACGATAATTTCTGTAACAAAATTAATCTTTTAATTTATAATTTTATTTTATAGCTATTTATATCTTATAATTTTTTTAATTATTCACTCAAATTTTAGAGTACAAATTACATAATATTTTTGTTATCATTTTAAAGTTTCTTCTAACCTTGCTACTTTATGTGTTGCAAAGATAAATATTGTATTAACTTCGGAAGAAATCACTTTTGATTAAGTAAGTGATTTAATTAAGCACTCAATATAAAGCTGTCGATACAAAGAGTTGTCAAGATTTAATCAAACAATCATGTCGTGTCGTAATTTACGTTTGTAATTCAGTTCACAGTGCGTAACAATACGATGTATTCATTTTT